CTATTGCCATGTCATTTGTTTTCGACATCATGCCCAAGGTAGCTTTCACATCAGGGGAGGCTATTCATGATGATAGTCAGTCACATACAGTACTGTAACCTACAAAGATCTCATATAAAATTTGACTATGTTTTGGGATTGATCAGTAGCTATCAATGTGAAAGCATAGAATGTCCTCTTCTGATGAGGAAGACAACTTGGGCATAATGTCGAAAACAAATGACATGGCAATAGCAATATGTGAAGTCATGTCAGTCCTTCAACCATATCCCCAAGAACATATAACTGTATTTTGAGATAGTAGGTATCAATAGGAAGGCACAGAATTAATTGCCTTTTCTGATGTGAAAGACAACTTGTGCATCATGTCAAAAACTAATGCTGCAGCAATGGCAATATGTGAGATCATGTCAATCCTTCAACCATATCCCCAATACCCTACACATAGTCAAGGACACTATAAACTAAAGTGAACTACAAACTTTTGTAGTCCCAAAAAGCGGACACTACAAACTTTTGTAGTCTCAAAAAGCAGACACTTTAAACTTTTGTAGTGAAAAAGCCACACCCTACAAACTTTTGTAATGAAAAAGCACACAATACAAACTTTTGTAGTCTCAACAAGTGGACACTTTAAGCTTTTGTAGTCTACTGCAACATACCCCAGCCATTTCTCCATCAAATATGTGCCATGAATGGGATGGATGGGTCAGGCTGACTTTGGATGACCTTTTAACCCTACCTCTAACTTTATAGTCTAAGTCTGACTTTTGTAGTCTGTCAGTAAACTTTGTAGTCTAGGTCCAACCTGTAGTCTTTTGTAGTTTGTCAGTAAACTTTGTAGTCTAAGTCTGACTTTTGTAGTCTTTTGTAGTTTGTCAGTAAACTTTGTAATCTAAGTCCAACTTCTGCAGTCTTTTGTAGTTTGCCAGTAAACTTTGTAGTCTATGTCTAACTTTTTGTGTTGTAGTCTTTTGTAGTTTGTCAGTAAACTCTGTAGTCTAAGTCCAACTTTTTGTGATATCTTGTAGTCTATTAGTAGACTTTGTAGTCTGTCAGTGTCAGTTTCCCTTTTAAGGCATGCACCTTCCTTTTTTGGTCATTTTCCCACGATACAATAATTGTAGCCCTTTCTTTTAGCTTTCTAAATGTGTTGAAATC